CCGCCACTGTGTCAGACAATATTTTTATATTTATTTATTTTATATTTTGACATACAATGCCACCGAGTGATCATACAAGACTCACTACTCTTACCAAAAATGCGTCGTCTTTTATACAGATCAGACGAGCTTTTTGTGTAGCGCACATACAATTGTTTTCTGCTGTTTTGTGAAGTTTTGTTTACTTTCCCGTTTGTATGTCTGACTTTCGTACTGTTCTTCAAGTTGTGCGCTCAACCGATCTCGTCTATCTCTTTGCGGCGAATTTCTATTTTGACGTTTTTGATATTTGCTTGTTATGTTTTGATTTGATAATTCTTGTAACTTTGCGTGCGGTGCTTCTTGTTTTTATTAAATTATTTATAATTTAATTTTATAATTATAAAAAATAATTTATTAGAAAATTATTTAAATAAATTTGCGGGGATGAACAAAGAAGGTATGTATTTATTATTTTATTAAGATATATTTCTCTATTTATTACAAATTTATTATCTCCTAATTTCAGATTGCTTCACGTGTTGCAGTTGCGTGCAGGCTGGGTAGCTTTTTGGTAAGTAGTTTCTAATAACTATATTAAATGTTAATTTATCTATTTTAATTTCAGATTTCTTCGAAATTTATTTAAATTTATGTAGGTTGGAAATTATTACAAATTTCCATCCTCACAACTTTTTCTACTGTCATATTATAAACACTTTGAATAAGTTCCATTTCGTTTGCTTGTGCACTATTCTTTTCATTTTTTTTTTTTGTTATGCTGTGATTTTTAATTTTTTTGTATTTGCTTTGTTGTTATTGTTGCTAAAGCACACTTTTGCGATATATCCCACTTTATTGCAGTCATAGCAAACAGTTTCTCTGAATTGGCAGTCGCTAAGTCGATGAGAGCCTCCGTAGCTGCAGCATTTTTTTTTTTCGTTTGTCTTATTGTGCTCTGTTTTTTGCATGTGACGTGATTTCATAAACTAACGGCAAATTCTCTTGGAGTTGTTGTTGTTTAATAGAATTTGTGGCATTTGTCGTCAAAGTAAAATACTCTGCAATTAATAAAACATCTTCCATCCAATTCCATCTTTCTGAATTGCCGCTGCTCCAGCTATTCCTCTTAACTTAACTACCCATTCCCTACATATTTACGTTGGCTTCAACAAGCATTTACTGAAATTATACCGCGCTGCTACCACATAAATTTGTTCTTGGAAATGTTCCATCTGCATGTAGGATTCCCATTAAGTGTGCTCCTTTCCGAATGCTGGATATCTTGGAACCAATGTACCTTCATTATTACTTGAAGTGACTCCCCGTAGTGTTGTTTGTAAAAATCCTTTCTGGTCATCCAAAAGGCTTTTCATAAGAGTATTCTGATCCGCTATTCTCTTAGCAATCTCGTTCGCCATATTACTGAAAATTTTTGTTTCGCGATCATGTGATTTACTTCCGTTCGTTTGGCCTCGTCGCCAGTGAAATGTATACGTGTTACTTCTAATGAAATCTGCATAGAACTAACTTTATATATCATATATAAAATTACAAAATATATAAAAGTGGTTATTTTTGTTTTTTTTAGAATATATTAACTTTTATTTCGGAAATTTTATGTTGTGTATCCCTACACTTGTTTCGGCAAATTCGCTTTTGTCTTCATCGGGAGAATTCCTAATATAAGGAATATTAATCCAAATATTAGGAATATTAGGAATTCTCCTGATGAAGACAAAAGCGAATTTGCCGAAACACGTGTAGGGATACACAACATAAAACTTTCGAAATAAAAGTTAATACATTCTAAAAAACAAAAATAACCGCATGTAAATATTTTCGAAATAACGACTCAAAAATTAAAACGAAAATAAATACAAACTATAATGTAACCAACAATTCAATAGAAAGCGAGAGAAATTTGTTGTTTGTAATTTTTGTATATAACAAATAATAATATAATTAATATAAACAATACATAATATTTATGATCATATTTAATTTAAATACAATTTAAATACATAACAATATCAGTGTTAGGATTCCATTTTAAGCTAAGTGTTTAAATATATTCTTCTTTATCGATATCAATGACCTCATTTTCTTTTGATTTTTTTTTGATTTTCTATTATATCGATGCTGTTATAGCACCATTTTCTCAAATAAAATGCATACTTCTCTAAATGTGTAGATATTCTTTCCTGAACACTCTTACATTCTTCTTTTGTATCACCACCAGTTAAAAGATCATCCATATAAAAATCCTCTTTAATTATTTTCGACATCAGTTTATCTGGGCATTTGTTTGCTATTTCAAATAAAGTTTTTATAGCAAAAATTAAGCAGTTGCAACACCATAAGTCACAGTTGTTAACTTGTATTCTTCAATTGTGTGATTAACATCGTTTCTCCACAAAATATGTTGGTATTCTTGATTATTCTTTCTAACCAATATGGTTGGTATTGTTGCTCCAGAAATTGTAATACATCGTCCATTTTTTGAATTTCTTTCGTCTTTTTTATGTTCTGCCCAAATAGCCGTAATCCTTCTTTATCTAATTTCCTGATAATACATTCCTTGCTTTTATTAAATCTGCTTCATTCGTTTTTATACCCATTATATTCTATCTATGAATCACTACATACAAATGATGGATCGAGCGATTTATCGATTAATATTGTGAACGACATAATAGCTACAACATAATTTACTTCCGATACTGGTAGATGTTGTATAAGTTTGCTTGGTTTTCCTTTTACCAATGTTTTGAGTCGATACATTTTTTTAACATCCGAAATTTTTCGATCTTCATGGATAAGCCTTTTGTATAGATCATGAAAGGACAATTCCTCAATGTTACCGTTATAATTTGGAATTTTTATGCAATCAAGTTTAATATTGTTCCCCTCACGTAATTTTTCCATTTTATAGGCTAATTCGTCCAACGCCTTATTTCGTTGATCTTCAATCTCATCAGAATCATTCCTAATATCCACTTTGTTGTATGCCATTTCTATAACCAGCTTCTTATAGATAGTTCTAATGTCTTCTTCTAATGTCTCCTTTTCCAGATTCTGTTAAGTTGTTCCAGTCTAGTGACAGTATCATAATAGTAAAGTTTTCTAACATTTGTCTTAATCCAGCGATGTTATTGTTGTATAGTTCTACTAGGTTATTAATTTTATTTTTCTGAATTTGAATATTTGCTGTTTTCCGCTACATCTCTCCTCTTTCCTCATTTTTAATGTCAACAGTTTAATTGAAAGTTGAAAATTTCACTTTGTTTTGTGCGAGCGCAAAATAATATCACTGCGTATTTTTTATATTTTTCAAGTGCAAAACATGCACAGTAATTTAAAATTTTTATCGTAAATAAACGAGACAGTGACTCCTTACAAAATTTATAGAAATATTAATGCCCAATTAAACGTCACAAATTAAATTATTAATATATTTATATTGTTGATATGCAAAAAAGTGAATTTATTTGCAAAATTATTTTGTTTTTGAATTTGTTCATTTGCCTTAAATTCACACACTTTTAAAAACAGCTGATAGAGACAGAACATTAAGCTCTAAAGCTTAAAATAAAAAACAAGAAAAGTGTTGGAATAAGAAAAAAATCTGTACAAATTGCAACTCACGATATCGTGTAATTGTGTAAATTGTGTAGTTCACTTGTCAACTTATGCTAAATAAATAAAATTACTAAATACGCGAAAGGACGCTTTAAATACTAATATATATTTTAAATATTTTAAATCTTATAGATTATATTAGATATAAAACTGTTAATACATTAAGACCGAAAAGTTTTCGGAAATTCTCATTTAAAATTCGCGCGCTGTATATTTTTCGATATTTT